GTTTTTGCATATATCTACTGCTTGTTTAATAACCCTTTAACTGCAAACAGGTTGGGTTTGGATCAAACTTGTTATCAATATGTACCCGAAGTTTATCCCATCACAGTATGAAGAAGATTTGATGGCACCCATGTAGACCTGAGGGGCTCCGGGGATGTTTGTTTTGAGTGTAGAAAACTGACTTTGCAGTTTTTTCAGGCTTGGTAAATCGTGGTATGGATCCCAAAGCACTTCAACCTACATGAGTCAGTGCTTCAAATCCTATTGATACCATGACAGGACACCATCCTGTCACATCATAAGTGTGTGTGTGTGTGTGTGTGTGCATTTTTTTTTGGTAGCAGGCATAACATTGCTAAAATGTTTTTATTTTCCATAAAGGATTGGTGTTGCAGTCTTCATATTTGTGTGTGTGTGGTGTGTATTATACTATATAACACTATATGGTAAATTATATACGTATATGTTATTTATATTTACTTGCCAGCACAGCGGGCAAGGCTAATGTTTTCTCTTCTGCTGTGCTGCTCATAAACTTCTGGTGCACAGACCTGTGTTCTGATCAGCAGGCGTGAAACAAGTATGCTCGACAATCCTTAGGTACGCTGCAGATTGATTCCTTGCAGGCATGTACAGCTGGAAATCCTGCTTCCTGTGCCAATTTCAGGCAAGATGTGTAGCTTTCTTTCAAAAGATGTTGTTTGGCTCCCGCAACCATTCAGGGAGCAATTTTAGCGTCTCTATTAATTGTGCCAGGTTGTTTGAAAAGCTGTTTAATAATTAAGTGAAATAAATACTTCAATGCCAGAAATACTAAGGATGCCCATTCACAGCCAGCTTAGTGTATTGACTTGTAAAAAAGCATTTAACTAACTTTTGATTAAGATAGCTGGAATTGCTTCATTTATAGTGGTAGCACATGCTGTACATGAAGTTTGGATGAAGAATAAAGTACATTGTCACATCTGGAAAGACAGTTCAGCAAAAACAATTCATTTCAGAAGGCTTTATTTAAGCATTTTTTTTCTCTTAATTTGCATCACACTTCATTCAGTAATTAGTAATATACAGTACATGGTATGGTGCATGATACCTAGATAGATTGAGGTCCATTCAAAAATACAGAATTTCTTCTGATTGAAAGACTAGATTTCCCTTTTCTTCTTGTTGTTGTTTTGAATATTGCTGTTAGTTTAGTTTGTGGTTTGGGAGTCACTGACTTGAACAATTGATTTCCCCTGCCCTCTCTTTTATTAAGCAAATGAAGAGTAGGATTGAGGAATTTGAAGAAAGTCATTTTGTTTGCTTGATCTATATCATCTACCTCCTTAGGCTGCATGGTCCCAAGTTTTGGTGCATTGTGCATTCTGTACTTTTCAGGCCTGGTGTTGCATATAAACCTAAGTGTCACACTGAGAGACTGCGCCCATGCTTTTTCACCTACTTGGAATGCGCTCGGCTTCCTTAGGGAAGTTTACAAAGGCCTACAGTACTGTGAACAGTTCAGGTTCACCAGCAATGTACGCTGAGAGAAGTATATGACCTAGCAGATGGAAAAAGCTTAACAGTCTTTGGTCTACTAGTGATTTTGTTTTTCTAGCAGACATTTGGACAATGTGGGGCATATGTCAATAATAGTTGAAGGAATTAAAGTAGATGTAAACCTAATGACAAAAATCTCATATCATCTCTGATATGTTCGTTTAAAGCAGCGGTTCTCAACCTGTGGGTCGCGACCCGGTCGGGGGTCGAATTACTATTTGCCAGGGGTTGCCCAGGAGTCTCCTGCTATTAGATAGTGGCTCCCGGCCGCCCCGGGAGAGAAACACTTTCTCCCGAAAAGGTTTACTCTGCCCGACCGAGCAGAGTAAACCTTTCCCTGCGATCATCTTTTTTTTTTTCCTGACATCGGGGGCTGGCGGCGGCCGTAAGTCAGAAAAAAAACTCCCCATAGGAATACATAGCTAGATTCCTATTGGCTATTTCACTTTGCATTAGCCAATAGCAAACTAGCTATTGCACCTGCCCTCTGCTGCTGCCAATCAGCAGTGTGGGACCTGAGGTTCTCCATCAGGTCCTCTTCTAGTGATTGACAGCAGCAGAGGGCGGGTGCAATAGCTAGTTTGCTATTGGCTATTGCAAAGTGAAATAGCCAATAGGAATCTAGCTATGCATTCCTATGGTGTTGTTGTTTTTTTTTTTTTTAAATTATTCTGACGGCGTACGTGGCTACGGAAAGAACATTCAAATTTGTAAGGGAACAAGGGATGCCAGGTATAGCCAATCTAGCTGTGCATTTAGTAAGCATAAGATCTGCAGCACTAATAGGACAAAAACATCCTTGGGATGCTGAAATTCATATACATTCCTTACTACATCTTCCCAGTAAGAGTAGATTGACTCATATGGCAACAACTAATTAATCTGGTTGCTGGGTTTGCTGGGGAATATCACTGAATAAGCAGGCTAATCTCAACAAATAGAAAAACATGTTCTACAGCAGTGGTTCTCAAGCTGTGGTTCGCTGTGTGATTTCTGCTGTGCTAGGTGAGAGTCCTCCTCAGCTCTCTCCTAGTGCAGCAGTGTCCGTTCTCCCGCCACGCTGCCAGATGTCGCTGCAGCAGCTGGGTCATCCCTAAATGTTACCGTTGGGAGTCACCACAACTTGGCAAATGTTACCAAGGGGTCCCGGCCTTAGAAATGTTGAACCACTGATTTTAAAGCCTCACTTTCAGTCCTACGTGGTTTTACAGGTTCCTCTCTTGTACTGAAATTGCTTACTCTGATTTAACTGAAAACTGTCAGCTTCTCGCAATGTGCATAAGAAGCTTCAGCAAGTGAGATCGAGCCCATCTAAATTCCTGGCTGGAGGATGTTCAGTGTCATCTAACCCTTTCCTCTCCAGCCTTTACTGTCCCTGGCTTGCTACTTTTATTAGTTGGATTTCAGATGGAAGCATCACATTTGGGCATTACCTTGGGTGGTCTACGTGCAAATGCAGTCTGCCTAGGAACACCCACTTCTCCAGATTTACACTCTCCAATTACGGCATTTGGTCCTTTTAAGGGCCAGCCCACTGCTTGCAAAAAGGGCTGAGGGATTTTTGAGGCAGGGTGCTGTGATTTTTTTCAGAAAGCTATGTACAGCACCCTGCTTGCCTCTCCCACCAGCCATGATCTTCCTGCATTGCAAGAAGTAGAGAGACCCAGTTATGACATCGCTAGGTCTAAAATAAAGTATGACATGAAAACTGCAGGGTTTTATTTAAAACATGTATTAGCATGTTAATGGGGGATGGGGAGGAATCAGGGAAGGCAACATTATACGCAGATTAAGTTTCAGTTGCTTTAAATCTACAGCTTTCGTTAAAATGTCACATGTGCTGCCAGTAGACATTACAACCACTTACTTTGCTGGCTTGTTCATTTGTTGTCCCTATCTAGATTTACTCTCACTTCTGGTCCTGCTGATAACTGTTTCACCAGACACAGCATGAGAGGATATCTGCAACAGGGACACAGACAAATAAAAATTGGCCTTCACATACTCTGCTTTAGAAAAAAAATAAAACATATCTGTCTGGGTTTCTATTGGAGAGTTACCCTCAATTCCTGTCAGCAAACATGTCACCAGGACAGGAAATTAGGGTAAATCTAGCAGAGCTCCGGATAACAGTAAAACCTGACAGAGGTTCTAATCCTTCCCCACACTATCCAAGCTAGGGAAAGATGTAGAGGCTGGCTTTTTAATGCTCAGGATCCCATTTACTAATTACTTTGCATTAATATTGCATAAAGATTATTCCCTTTGGTATTCCCCCTGGGATATTTTGCAGAGTGGTATGCCACTCGGTGGACCCATAGATTCTGCAGAACTCAGTGTTTAGCTTGTTGCCTTTTGGCCGAGAGCTTTGACAGCACAGAGCATTGTGATTTGGGGTGGGGGCACTGCCCCACCCCACCGCTAAAGTCTCTCCTGCTGTTATCACTCTCAAGGGCCCATTTTTTAAACTTAATAGCTGGGTCCTACTTTGTGTGTCAGCAAAGCTGGCAGTGGTTCCTGGTACACTGTGTGGGATTTGGCTGTCAGATTGACAGCTGACCGCTGCAGATTACTAGTTAGTTTGACAGTCAGATCCTTCTCCTCCTATTGGGGCGCTGAGCAGCTTCTGTATGAACAAAGACTGTAAACAGGATTGCAGTCTTTCATCTTAAAGGAATGCTTATGTGGAAATCGGAATATTGTCCGTTGCTGATTAACCCTTATATAAACTGTGATTCGTTTTTATTAACTCATTCATTCCCTTTGCCTCTTCTTTTTTTTTTTCCTTTTCCTTTTTTAAAACTGTTTCTTCATTTGTTTTGTAGCGTCAAATTAAAACAAAAATGCTGACTTTTAAACAAGCCTCTATTTTATTTCACCATGCTTTGTATTCGAAATATAATGTTAGTAGCTATATAACAGGGGGCCAATTAAAAATACAGTTTGCACTTTTTATCAGCTTTAAGCAGCCTTAGTTCCTAGATAGAAGAATACATTTAGTTAGCCTAGTGTGAATGAAAACCTAGCTCTATTTCACCATACTCTAGCACTAAATCCATGCTGGTTTAACCATGGCACAATCCCCATTCTATTTTGTTTTTCATGGACCAAAAACTGACATACCAAGAACACTGCATCATTGCCTTAAATACTTGCATCCAATTTGGTTGTGCTGCCCACAGAAAGTGTCCGCAGCCATGATATTGATGGTTACTATCTTGTCCTAATTGGCACAGAGCTCTTGCATTATATATGCCACAGTAGGGACAATTAGAAGTGGGCCATGTACGTTAGCAATCGTTTGCCAGCGACATGATCGCTTAGAGGGCACTCACCTGCTCCTAAAAAATTAGCTTTTATGTACTAAGTATTATTAGTTTCATTCTTAGAAATGTTGTACTGCTCTTTAAGTATCCTTTGTTCTTTCTACATGTTTATATACTGTTTTCTTACTTTAGGCTGACAAAGAATTTGTATGGTCATTATGGAAGCGTCTTCAAGTGGGCAATCCAGACTTAACACAAGCTATTTCCCTGGTGGTTGAGAGGTAAGGTCATTAAGAAAAATGTATACATTCAGCATTATCTGTGCTCACAATAATTTTCATGTTCACATATTAGTTATGGAAGCCTTTTTTATTGACACCTTACACCAAAATTCAAGGAAGAAATGACCACTAAACACTTGAGCCATCTGTCACAGTTCAAACTAAATTGCTGTTGCTCAGAAGAAAGAATAATCCCTTTGATCCTTTCAAACCTTTGAAACTGTTCCTGAAGATCTCTTTTTTTTTTAAAAATGTGTGAGATTTCTGATCAATATTTAACTCTTGATATTGTACTGATGTACAGACAGAACAGAAACTGCAATTTATAATAATCTGCTTTTTGTATTTATTAGTACACTATAATCAGGGCTTGAAACATTTTAGGGTGTATCACCAGTCAGTCATAAATTTCACCAGTCAGCATGACCGGACTATAGCCTTGCAATTTATGTTAACACTTTTTAGGGACAGATAGAGTTTTATTTTGGTGGTATATAATCACCACTGGGGGGGTTTTATTTTTTACTATATAATTTAAAAAAGTACCGTAGATTTCGGAAAAAAAAAAAGTTTCCCTACGTTATGTTATAAAACTTCTTTTCTTACCCATATTTTTGGTAAAATATAAAAGACGGGGTCACGTCGGGTAAATAATAGAAAAATGTCACCAGCACACCATAAGTTGAAAAAGCAAAATATTTTATTGCCAATAGCTGTATCTCATTGGCAAGCGCTTTCTGGGCCTCGCAGGGTCCCCTTCATCAGGCTTAGAGATAGAGTTATCTATCTCGCGACGGTCGCGCTGATATGTAACGTGTGGCACAATAGGCGCAATCATCTTTTTCACACATAGGTGCACCCTGCGCATGTCTGCGAGTGTATGTGGGGGGCGGGGACTTAAAAAAAAATTCTACTCTTCTTTAATTTTTTTTATTACTTTTTTTTTTTACACAACTTTATTGCTATCACATAGGGGGGTAAGAAGCCCCCTATGTGATAGCCAATTTACATGACAGGTCCTCCTTATGGAGACATCAGGGGTCTCCAAGAGAGCCCCAGAGAAGCTGATGAAACAGAGATCTGCTTCACTAGCTTCTCCAGCTGGAGAGTGACAGCAGAATGCGGACGTGATGTAGTATACATCACTTCCTGCATTCGGGGACGGAGAGGAGATCAGAGGGAGATCGTGTCCCGAACACCCTTTGAACTCCTTTCACACAGCAGCCATGCCGGTCCCGGCCGCACCGGGCACAGCGGACCTCGGGACCGGCAATGGCAGTGACAGCTGCTGCTAATACAAGCGATCAGACGCCTCTAGAAATGTCCTATTGCTTGAATGTAAAGCTCCCGGCCGGCCGTGTAATTACAACGTTACTTTACAACATTACTCGTCGGGCTCCGCTGTCCTCTCGTCACAGACGAGAGGACGACCTGATCTTTCAAGTCCTGACTATAATTGTTACAATCCTAATATAATTGTTTGTATCCCCTACCTTCTCTGCTCTTATGTTTACTTTTGTATTCTTGTTTTGCTTGGTATCATGCATGCTTACTTACATACGTTTTTCTTTACAAAAGGTTTATTGAGTTTTGAGTTATAGAAGCAAAAGTAAAAGAATATACTTCAACGGTATATACCCCATTCGGCAAACAATAATACCCAAGAATGCATAGTGCAATGCAAAGTAACGACTAAGCAACGGTAACATCCACGAGTTTAGAAAAGAGGCAATTTCTTATATGCTGTTTTTGAGGGCAACTCCACTAAAAGTGTATCAAAGATGAGACCACTGTTTGTATGATCTGCCACCTCCTGATAAAAGCGCCAATTAATACTGTGACATGTGGGTTTATCTTCCTGGTTGCTGAGATTTTCCGCACACATATCTGGGCATAGGGCAGACCCATGGAAGAGAGAGGTAGAAATGGATGGATAACTTGGATTAGGACTTTAAAGTTATATATATACGTGGAATAGGAGAATGAAGTGGCTGAAATGCACACAATATACTCACTACTCTGTGTGGGTGATGCATTGTTAGTAGCGTTTTCTTTTAAAATATCATGCAAATCCATGTATACCATTTCAAGTGCAAAAAAAGACTGTCAATCAACCATCAAAATTGTAACATTAGTTGTTGAAATGTGCTTATAGTTTCTGGGTTGCCTAAATTCAGTGTTTAGAGCACGGTGCGCACACATATCGGTGTATTGTATTCCTCTGTGTAGTTATATTGAATATTCAGAAATTAATAGAAAAATAAGATTTGTCTTTGCTGTGCAAATGAGCAAAAGCCGTAGGGACATGTGAAAACCTCCAGGTATTTCTACCAAGCCATTGTAACAATCTATAATGTACTTTCCAACTACTTGAAAGACTATTGATCTTTGTAATATGCAAACAGGGTCACTTGTTTTCTTTGTTGCTGTGTGATTCTATCACAGAAGTAGGTAACAAAAAGAGCTTGCTTAAATCCACCTGGACTAATCTTCTGCACAGGATGTGTTCAGGGTAGTACTCGGCTCAGCCCCATTCATCTCATATCCTAATTTGAGCAATATGTGACAGTGTGCTCTGTGCATCTGTGAATAGTCATTTACATGTTCCTAAAATGTATTGTTTTAATTATTGAGTTATTCCTTTAAACTTTTGTCTTGCTCCATATTTTTATGCTTTTGATATTTTATGGCATGGCAGAAAGTAAATATTTTGTAAAAGGTATACAGTATGTTCCCTTATGTCTTTCGAATTTAGCACTGTCCCTAAAGAGAACTGGTCAAATGTCTGTGTACAGTTAGAGTGGCCATACTTATTCCAACAGTTAAAGCAATGTTTGTTTAAGCAGGGTTTGTGATGATATGATGATTACTGGGCCATGTAGGGTTTCCATAGAAGTATATAATGTACATTACATAACAGAAACCCTTGCTTTCACACAAAGATGTTCCAATTTGCTGGAAAATTCCTTTACTGGTGGGTTCTATTTTTCCTCTTCTGTGGGGTAACAGGAAGGAAACTTACTCCACATTTTCCATAGTCGCCCTTCAGTCAAATCAGGGGTGATATTGAAGTTAATCCCCAAAGTTTTGGCATGCATTGTGAAGAATTTAATAGCAGAAGCACCTAGTTAATCAAATTTGTGTTGCTTGTCTTTGAGTGGTCATGACCAGGTAAGAGGAGAAAAGTGGACAGCCGTCTAAAGAAGATAACAAAAAAGTGCATCTGGTGTATAAAACATTTTATAACTCATTATAGTTTAATTTGCTCAGTAAAGAATGAAACCTGGACAACATACAATAAGTGGGAATTCCCCTGTCTTAAAAAGCTACTAAATTGTTATAAAATTCTTTCACTTAATAGCTAAATTTAAGGCAAAATCTATATCCTTGATTCCAAAGGTCAGATATGGACTTTATTTTCTTCCCATGAACATAGCTGTAAATCACAATTTTTCCCCCTCCATTCAAAGTTATGAAGCTAAGTAACTACCTTGCTAAATATAAACTAGATTGTACTGATTGCTGAGGGGATGGATCCTAGAATTATAACTAGGAAATATTTCTTCTCTTGTCCAAACGGGTACTTAAATATGTTATCTAAAAATATACCTAAAATGTATTTTCTTTTTTGCTTTAAATGCCAATATTTATCTTTTTAGTATGTTATATTTAAAATAATATCTTTTTACGCTGCAGCTATACTTGCTATCGTATTGCTGAGAGATCTAGCCACATACTCGCTCTCACATAGCCAATGGAGACCGAGTTGGTGAGAGGGCTTTTATTGTAACTCCTGTCCATCACCCTTGAGATGGTAACAGAGACTAGGAGGATACAAGGTGGTAACAGTTCAGGGGCTACAGACTCGGGCACCCTAGACCCCCTGTATGCATTACAGGAGACTGTAATGACACAGACAGTAACTGAATGCATCAGAAACTTGAAGTAAGGCTCATGATAGCTTGAGTCAGGATGCAGACTGAGGTCAGGATCAGGCAGACAGACAGCAGGTAATACCAAAGCAGTAAACTGCAAGCAGGGTCACAAGAGAGGCTGTGGTCAGGATCAGATAGACAGCAGGAGGTACCAAGTCAACAGACAGCAAGCTGGGGTCAGCAACAGAAGACAGAGATGCAAGAGCAGGTCAGGAGGCAAGCCAAGATCATAATCGTAGGGTGAGTTTGCAGGTCACAGGAAAAGCTGAAGACCAATCCGCAACTTCCTCAAGCCATTTTTAAATGGGCTGAGTGGCGTCAGTGCTAGTGCTGGATGTACATGCTTGTCTGAACACATGAATGTGTGGTCAAGGCCTTAAGTGATGGACTCCGATCAAGCATGCACTCACACTGGTTCTCGTGCATGGTGGCAAATTTGACCTTCCTGACACTGGCATTCACCCTCTTATACTAGAGCTGCACTATGATAGGCCATTTCTAGTTGCTAAATGGTGCTACTAAAATTGCTAGCAATTAATTGCAAGGATTCGTAATTTATTGCAAAACGGATGGAACAAATGGCTCTCTATAGTGTTAGCTATACAAGTAGCATCTTGTAGCGATGATTCACACATGACTAAAGCATTGTGCAATCATCTGGGATTGATCACTACTATGCACAATGATTCCTGCTCCTTGAGGTTCAGGTTTCCTTTCTTCAGCTGGTCCCCTGAACATTGGCCCTGATATTTGGTTTTAGGAGGTTCCGTTTTCTTACATGGCCCTATGAAGCCCCCCTTGGGTGTGCACTCCAAGCCGGCAGCTCTGTGTATGCGCACATGAACATAGAGGTGAAGCCTAGGATGGTTAGCCACTCCTCACTCCTAATCTAGAGATTGCTCTGTCCCTTGTGACCTGATGGTCAGCACGTGTGCTCCCTGCCAGGAAGTTTGCAAGTGAACACTACATAAAGGGAGCATACAATACTACTTTAAAATGGGCCTGCCAAGTCAAAAAAGTTACTAGACTATAGTGCCTTGACTGAGAACTAGAAATCTGCCAACT